TCTCTGTCTCTCATGAATAAATAAATAAAATCTTTAAAAAAAAATAAAAAATAAAATAAAATAAGCAAATTCTGGGGCCTGTCCACATAGGGTGGTAGGATCCGTGGACCTGTACACAGTGTCCCTGTGTGTCAGCTACAGTGGTGTGGACATGGGCGTGTGGCATTAGAGTCTCAGACACAACAAGCAGCATTTCCACTGGTGACCCAGTTTCTCCGAACGGTGAGCCATTCTAGATACAGTTCCAAACAAACCGAACTTCAGTCTTCCCTCCGTTTACCTGGTGTTGATGTTCTCAGAACCTTCAGTGCATGTTCAAACCTTGCAAAAAAATATCTGGTGCTGACTTGCATCAGAGACTTAGGCTCTCCATTCAGAGGATCACAGATAGGTGTTCATCTACAAGAATGTCTGGCAGAGCCCTCCAGAGTCATGTTAGAGACAAAAAACGATGTTGGAGAATGGCACCATCTTGTGCGTGATTGGCACACCGCAACCCCGACCTCCTCCCCTCTTCATGCCGGCAGGACCTACCACCATCGAGCTAACCGAGAGTGTCTCCGGGGACACCATACGTCCCTTGTGAGGACCAGTGGTTTAGCTCTTCTGAACTTAAACATTTCCAAGTACACGATCACCTCTGGGTTCCTAGTCCATCAATTTCTGTGGGGTTTTTTCTCTCTTATTTAAATAATTTCTACTTGCCATTCTTCCAACACTTATAAACCTATCCAACATTCTTCCAGCTTAAAAAAAATTTTTTTTAATCTGTCTGCTGCCCCACTTTTGCTGACCTTGATCCTACCTTTCTCTCTCACCTGGATTTTGCAATATTCTCTTACCTGGTCTCCTTCCCTCTAGTCTTGATGTCTTTGCCCCTACTCTGCCCAGGACACCAGAGGACAGATCAGGTCTGGCTACACCTCTTCCCCGAACCTCCAAGTGGACTGAAGATCTAGATGCCCTTCTACACAGTATCTCACGGCCAGGCCCACCCCACACACCTCCTCATCCTTGAGAAAACTTTTGAAATGTTGACATGTTCAAACCTAGTGCTCAATGGGATGGTATTAGGAGGTGGAGCCTTTGGGAGGTGCTTTGGCCATGAGGGTGGAGCCCTCATGAATAGGATTAGTGCCCCTTGTAAAAGGGACCCCAGAGAGCTCCCTCACTCCTTCTGCCAGGCGAGAACCGAGCAGGAAGATGGCTGTCTGTGAACCAGGAAGCAGGTCCCCACCAGACCCCAAATCTGCTGGCGCCTTGATCTTGGACTTTCCATCCTCCAGAATGTAAGAAGTAAATTCCCATTGTTTATAAGCCACCAGTCTATGTTTGGTTGTTATGGCAACCCAAGCTAAGACAGCCACTTTTTGAGATGTGATCGACATACAGTAAATTGCATGTCTTTAACAGCTTTATTGAGGTATAATGCACATACCATACAATTCACCCATTGAAAGTGTCCAATTCCACAATTCTTAGTGTGTTCACAAACTTTACACATATTTAAAATGTATGAGTTGGAATATTTTGGCATATGTACATATCCCTGAAATCATCACAGTTGTTAAGATAGATATCCATCACCCCTAAAAGCATCTTCCTGCCCATTTGTGATTTCTTCCTCACCCCACCCCCTTCCAGGCAACCATCGGTCTGCTTTCTGTACTATAAAGTTAAGCCACTTTCAAGAATTTTATAAAAACAGAACTATATAGTATGTACTTCTTTTTTCTTTGTTTTTGTTCTGGCTTCTTCATTGTGTCCCTGCACATATACGTATCCAGAAAATTTGTTGGATAATTTTTTTCAAAGCATATTTGAAACAGATCTTCTGTTGATGCGACAGTTTTCTCCATTCATGGACTTGAAACCTAACCCAGGGCTCGGCACATCATCGCTTCGCTGTAGTGAAAGCAAAGGCAGAGACTCCCCAACCCACGAGTGGTACTCCTTTCTTAGGACTTGAAAAATATAACCCAATCTGTTTAAAGAGAGCTGTCACTACGGTAACTGTTACTTGAAATCTATTGATCAGATACAATGTGATACTGTGGTAATATTGTTGAAAGAAAATGAACAATTGTCCAAATTCTTAAGAACATCCTTCAAACATGGAAGGCAGAATAGAAATGAAGTCAGAGGGATTTGTCAACTTCAAGGAAATCTAAAAATGTGTCTGAAGACCTCCCGGGCTGTCTTCACCTAATGATATTAAGGGTCCCTGTCTGAGGATTTCAAGAATTTCTGAACAAACTAGAGTTATTATGCCAGCCGTGTTTTATTTTTGCTGGTGAGTGGGGAAGGGACAGTGTTGAGAAATCCATCTCAAGAAGCTTTTGCAACATTCCTGGTAGTCAGTGATGGCTGTGAGTTTTCCAACTGCACACATAATTGTCAGTCTGATGTGGTTTTTACAGGTTCACAGGAGGGAGGCAGAAACATGAAAGAGTGCGTTGGTTTCCAGGACAGTAGTTCCTGGTAATAAGGGGATGGTAAAGAGGTTGAATTTCAAAGTCCGATTAGAAATCACAGCTATGGAATTCAGTGATTGTCACTGAAAAGCCTGTGGATTTGGCCTGCTGTGCACAGACGGTAGCTCTTGGTTTGTTAACCCAGAGCAAAATGGCAGCGGAGCAGAAAACATAAGCAGCGCCTTCTGGGGGATGTGCATACGCTAGAATAATGCTCTGAAATAAACGAGTTAAAAGAAAGCACCAGAACATGGAAACCCTGAAGCACTCTGGCTGACTAATGAACGTTATTTTGGAATAGTCGTTCATCAGGGGTTTTGTTCTAAAGCAAGGTAACTCCATCCATCACAAGTAAATAAGGCCCCCGTAAAATCAATAGGGTTAGGTTTATGATTAAAGCCCATGACAAACGAACCTGTGTCAAACGGGGCTCCTCAGACTCTCGTGTGCACACGAACCACCTGGGAGTCTTGTGACAATGGGGTTCTAACTCCGTCCGTCCAGGAGGCCGGGGCCTGAGGTTCTTCCTTTGAAACCAGCGCCCAGGTGGTGCGCACGCCGCCCACCCTCAGACCCCACTTTGAGCTGCAAATGCAGACTTGGGGGAATGGGTTGCTCTTCCCTCTTTATCACTGATCCTGAAGTCGTCCTGTAAAGTCCCCTGACAAAATGAGTCTGTGGTTAATAGTCCTGTTCATCTCTGAAGGATACAGAAGCCAAATTCTGATTTCTATCTTGTGTTCTAAAAAAAGGAAGGGGGGGCAGTTTTTTCATTCATGCCATCATGAAAAATCCTTTGAAAAAACTGTAGATTGAGTTGTCTTTATTTTAGGGTTGAAAATACTCATGCCATTTATTTTACTGATACCATTTACTCCTGATGACTGAAAGAAATTAAATTTTATCCAGTATGTTACCTACATGCGTCAGGAATAACAGTGGCATTCAAAACTTTTTTAAGCAGAACTTCTGTAAGAACAGGCGCTTTTCTGGTTAAAACTTGAAAACAAAGACTCTGATTTGAGAACTGTCCTGGGTTTTGAGGTATTACCATGGTAGGCGTCAGCTACAGATTTTGAAGCAAAACTCCCTGGTTTCGAATCTGGTCCTCCACTTACTATATACAGTGGTTGTTCCTCCATAAAATGGATCTGCATTCTCTGGTGTTACTGGATTAAGTGAATGAATATTTGTAAAGCTCTTAGAACAGTACCTGGCATGCATACGAAGTATAGAAATGCTTGTTAAGTATATCACTAAAATTTAGATATGTGTTAATGTCAGGGCACCTGGGTGGTGCAGTCGGTTAAGCGTCTGACTCTTGGTCTCACCTGGGGTCGTGATCAGGGTCGTGGGATCGAGCTCCACCTCGGGCTCCACGCTCAGCTCGGAGTCTGCTCAAGATTCTCTCCCTCGGCCCTACCACTCCGCCCCCCCAACATCTGCACTCTCTCTCTCTCTAAAATAAATCTCAAAAAAAAAAAAAAAAAGAAAAGAAAAAAAGATGTGTTAATGTCATGTCTTACTGGCCCAGTGGTCTTCTGGAATTCAAAAGGTCTGACTAAAATAGCATCCTACAAGACTTTCCCAGCTAGTAGCTGGGTCAGAGAGGATGGTGATTTCAGCCAACAGACTGGGAACCCCAAAATAAATTCACACCATCTAGGGGTTTTACTTGTTTGGTCGGACTCACCTCAGTCCTTTGGTTTTGCAGTTGGTGATGTATATTGGCCAGGTGGCCAAGGACATCTTGAAGTGGCCTCGTCCTCTCTCCCCTCCTGTGGTAAAGCTGGAGAAAAGGGTGATTGATGAGTACGGAATGCCGTCCACCCACGCCATGGCAGCCACAGTCATATCCTTCACCCTCCTCATCTCTACCATGGACAGATACCAGGTGAGGCCTGACTCCTCTTCCGCCCACGTAACCTCATCCACGCAGTGAGGCAGCAAAGAGAGGTTTTGCTTCAGAATTTTCCTTTTTGAGGGACTTTGAGGTTTATGAAATGAAGACTATGGGGGATTGAAATGTATTGAGTCATCAGTGACAATTTCTTCATAGAGAAAGTGACATATGGCTTAGCGTCCAAATGAGGCCGTGCCTCATAGTGAAAGTGATACCCCCAGGAACAACACCCCCACCACGAGACAACATGGACTGCCCCAGGAACCAGGGTGTGGAGTCTCCCCAGCAGAGCATCGTCACCCTGAGCTGCCTGACTAGACTGCACATTATCGGTTCTGTCATCTTCTTGTTTGCAGCAGACGGGAGGAGCTTAGGATCCTCATTATTGGTCCTCCAGGACTGAGATGATTCCCCCAGATAAATCCTCCTGCTAGACTCCCCAGGGCCCGGGGCAGGAAAGAGTCTGGGCCCCACATTGGCTCCCAAGGATGCCTCTGCCCCTGGTTGGGGCTCAACCACTAGAAATAATGGCTCCATGTTTTCTAGAGTACTCTAAGGGACAGCAGGTTGATAAATGTTGCAAATAGAAGAATGTCACTTAATTAATAATCTGCTTAGATGCCAGTTACAGTCAGACCTTTTACAAGTTACACTAATACTGCAGTGAAGTTTTTTTTGCCTGAGAAGTTTTGCTCCAAGTTTGTGTTTCATTTAATAAATTGTACCTTTTACTCTCCGGACAATTCAGATTTCATTAAACTTAACCGTCTTGTATGTAAAAGACAGTACTGTTTCGCTTTGTCCCTTCACCCTCAAAACACGGGAGCACATTCTGTGCTCCAGGTTGTGCAGAACTAGGGGAGTCCGCCTGCACATTCTGTGCTCCAGGTTGTGCAGAACTAGGGGAGTCCGCCTGATGTGGTTGGACAAGGACAAGATTAGTGTTGGGTCCTGGCTCTACCTCTATGGTCTTCTGCCTGGTCACCTGGGGGTCAGACCTCAGTTTCCTGGATGGGAAAGGAATGGGTCTAAGGAGTATGTCCAACTAGGTATAGTATAATCTATCGTAACTTCCTTACATGTCATGCCAAGATCAGAAATTTCTGAGATCTCCAGTACTGTATGAGTTCACTTAATGCAGACTTAGGAGCTATGTCGTACGCAGGGCATCTGCCCCAGAAGGACATGGGCGGCCCAAGGCCAGCCCCCATTGGGCTGCTCTCAGCATCCAGAGAGGCACTGTGCAGGAAAAAAGCCCCAAGTAGCAGCTGACTGCAAGAACACAGCAACAACCACTGTTCATAGACTCATTTCAAGGCCTCCTGGTCCTTCTCAAAAAACTCTTTTCAGCTCATATGATGCAGCAGTTTTCAGCCTGAGCTGTTACTCAATTTTTAATGATAAATATATTTAGCTATTTGGGTTATTTGCTGTAAACAGTTCTAAATATGGCTTATTTATATGACTGTGTGTGCAGGCTAATGCCCAGACTCTAATTTCTGAAAGCATTAACTCATTCATTTTTAACACTTTTTCCTAAATTAAAATCCAAGATGCGGTTAATGATAAATGTTAAGAAAAGACCTACGACCATGTATAATTGTACTCCCATCTTGCATCAGAAAGAACATGCTGGTCTTGGATTCAGAAGAGGGGGCTTCTGGTTCTGACTCTTACCCTTTACAGACTGTGTGACCTTGGGCAGGTCGTTTGGCCTCTCTGGGGCCAGCTCCTGTTGTGAGGATCAAATGGGATGATGGGTGGGAAAGCGTCTGTGTGCTAAAGTTTTTTTTTTTTTTTTATTCTTATGTTAATCCCCATGCATTACATCATTAGTTCTAGATGAAGTGTTCCATGATTCATTGTTCGTGCACAAC